GGATATAATAAATAGTGTAACACACAGAGCTTTTACTTATAAACAGATAGAGTTTTCTGATCCATGATGAGGACTGGTTCATCAGCCGTTTTGAGGAAAAACCCTTTTTCATATTGGCACTGCTGCACTCTGGGAGCGCGACACACGAGCAGCGTGCGCCATGCGTGCACGTGCAGCAGCAGCGATTGAACTGGGGTTCCACAGGAGCTTTCCAGAAGGAGCTGGCAGACCGATCAGGACTGTGTCAGTCCAGTCCACCCAAAGCTGAATCATGACCAATGGAATCATCTCATCCAAATGAGTCTAACTCTCCAACATCATGTGACGTGATGAAAACTCTCCACTGAGGCGCAGAGAATCGTTTCTTCATATCAGCAATGAAATAAACAAAGATCTATGTTCTACCAAACATGAGTTCCTCTGTGTTTACAGTCATTATGGTAATAAACTCGTGTGCAAAGTTAATATTTTCAGGCTCAGAATGGATGAATGCGCCAGTTGCACAACACAGCAGCTTCACACACACTCACACACACACACAACACACAATCACTCCTTCTTTGCATGACAAACATATTTAGGATTGCCATGTGAATGACAACCTATTACTCTGTGCTACTAAACTGGACTCTATTATTATTTATTCATTCTTTTACTGTTAATGTGGCCCAAACCGTAGGTCATACCCCCATGAAGGTTATATCAAAACGAACGCATCGATCTCGAGATGTGTGTTATTACTCTTCTTTACACTCGCTGTTACCATGGCGACGATATTCGCAAAAAACTAACCCCATTGGATTGCATTAAAACCAGTTTCAACTACCACCCTCTGGCTGAATCATGTGGATTAAATACATCTTTAGGATGGCCACCAAAACTAGTTTTAAACAACAAACACAAACAAAAACATAGGACGAGTTGCACAGCTGGTAATCCTTTGTTTCTCCAGCAACTCTTCTAGTTTATTCCTATTCTTACTTAGGATTTATTTATCACTCACATTATATTTAATTCGTTATTTTCCTGACTCTATAAATCATTTCTGATCACAGGGATCACTCAAACCTGTCCTTCACACATRCAGGAAGTAATTTGCATCTGTTTAACATATGTTAATGAAGGCGTGTCAGGGGAGGAGTCTCACCTGCGCTCAGTTCCACATTAAGTGTGATGTACAAAAGAAATGTGCGTGGATTCAGGCGTTCGCATCTGGGTTTTTTTGTGCGTACGCAGTTTTCTGGATTTGACCGTTCGCCACGTTTCAGTAAGAAATCCACACCAGTCTTTGTACATGAGGCCCCTGGTTTTACACCAGTGGGGGATCATTAAGACAAWCTTTGATGGTGGATCTCTTTATTTCTAATTTAAGTCAATAAAATGTTAATAAAACAGTTTTTTGTGTTGTGCAAAGCTTTGAGAACATGCTGGACCCGTTTGTTTGGTCCAGCGTCATTTTGGACCCGCCTCTCTCAGGTCAGGACAGAAACACTGACCCCGGGCTTGTCCTACCATCATGGCCTCTCGAACGGTGAGATGCGGCAGCAGCATGTCGTCCTGCATGATGTAACAGGAAACCTTCCTGAAGGAGCGCAGGTCTCGGGGCTGACCGTTGATCAGGATCTCACCCTTCATCCCGGTCTCCCTAAAGACACAGAAACAATGAAGAACTGACGGGAACCAGAACCCTTAAACCCATAAATGTTCTGATCAGAACTTGTTTTAGTTTAAACTGAAGCTGCAGGAAAACCAAAATAAAAATTTCTTGAYATTAAAAAATGATTTTGGGAGAACTTCTCTCACCTGTACCCAGCCAGGATGTTCATCAGGGTGGACTTTCCGGCCCCCGAGGGCCCCATGATGGCCACCAGGTCACCGCTGATGAATTTCCCAGAGATCCCTTTGAGCAGAGTTTTGTAACCTGAAACAGGACAGAAACAATCAGTCTGAAGGTTCCCAGCAGCTCTCAGAGCAGCTCTTTGTCCTCAGGTCCRTGGATCTGGTTTCAGACCCGTTTGGAGGTTTTTCTCTTCAGTAATCCGCAGAGATTCACAAGAACCCGAGCAGCCACCCAAAACTTCACCAGGATGAGAGAAACTCTACTTTTCTGAACTGAGTTCTGATACAGTTTGACCCGTTTAAAGATAAAAGCTTTAAACGGACCTGGTTTAAACCAGGATCCGGTTCAGTCTGAGTCTTCGAGGGTCAAAGATGTTCAGAGGTTCCAGTTTGAACTGATAAAAAAAAAGATTTTCAGAACAGAACCACATGGACCCACAGAACCCAACCAAGGGCTGGTAGAACCACATAGACCAGGGACTACTTTAGGGTCATGTTTAGGATTAGTTTTTAAAACTTAAACAAGAACTTTTTTATTATCAGACTGATGAGTTTATGAAGACAACATGAGGGGTTAAAAACAGGACCGGACAGGACAGGACAGGACAGGACAGGACAGGACAGGACAGGACAGGACAGGACAGGA